TATTCCATTGGTCCATGTGTCTGTCATTGTACCAGTACCATGCTGTCTTTACCACTACGGCAGTGTAGTAGGATTTGAAATCAGAGTGAGATACCTCCTACCTTTCTTCTATTTTTAAGGAGTGCTTTGCTTATTTGGGGCTTCTTTTCATTCCAAACGAAACTGGAGATTACCTTTCCCATCTTGTTGAAGAATGGGATTGGTATTTGTATTGGGATTGCATTGAACGTGTAAATTGTCTTTTGTAGTATTGCCATTTTCACAACATTGAGTCTTCCTATCCATGAGCAAGGGATATTCTTCCACTTCTCAAGGTATCTTTTTGTTTCATGTAGTAATGTTTTGTAATTTTTTTTAATAGATCCTTTGTGCTTCTGGTTAAATTTATTCCCAAGTATTTAATCTTGTGATTAGCTATTGTGAAGGGTATTGTTTTTCTTAATTCTGGCTCCTTATTCTCTTTGTCACTGTAGAGAAATCCAACTGATTTTTGTATGTTGATCTTGTAACCTACTACTTTGCTGAATTGGTCAACTCTGTCCAATAGTTTTCTTGCTGAGTCTTTAGGGTTTTCTAAGTATACTATCATACCATCCGCATAGAGAGTTAATTTTACCTCCTCTTTGCCAATTTGGATACCTGTTATTCCCTTCTCTTGTCTTATTGCTATTGCTAAGACTTCCAGTACAATATTGAATAAGAGAGGTGATAGTGGGCATCCTTGCCTAGTTCCTGTTCTTAAAGGGAATGCCTTTAACCTCTCTCTGTTGAAACAATGTTGGCTATTGGGTTTTCATAAATACTTTTTACTATGTAAAGAAATTCCCCTCTTATTCTATTTTGTTGAGTGTTTTAATTAGGAAAGGGTGTTGGATTTTGTCAAAAGCTTTTTCTGCATCAATTGCTAGGATCATGTAGTTCTTGTTCTTTGCTTTGTTAATATGATAAATTACATTAATTGTTTTCCTTATGTTGAACCATCCTTGCATACCTGTTGTCAATCCCACTTGGTCATGGTGAATTATTTCTTTGATGTATCGTTGGATTCTATTGGCCAGTATTTTATTCACTATTTTTGCATCAGTGTTCATTAGAGATATTGGCCTATAGTTTTCTTTTTCTATTTTGGTGGTGTCTTCCTGGCTTGGTATCAAAGATATGTTTGCTTCATAGAATGAGTCTGGGAGAATTCCATCTTCTTCTATTTTCTGAAATAATTTATGTAGAATTGGTACCAGTTCTTCTCTGAATGTTTGATAAAATTCACTTGTAAAACCATCTGGTCCAGGGATTTTTTTGTATTGGAAGTTGTTTTATTACCTTTTCAATTTTTTCTTTTGTAATGGATCTGTTCAGACGTTCAGTTTCGGTTTGTGTCAGTTTAAGTAGGTTGTGCATTTCTAAGTATTTGTCCATTTCCTCTAGATTTTCATATTTGTTTGAGTATAGTTTTTCATAATACACAGATATTTTTTTAAGAACTGTTGCCTTTCTTGGATCAATACAGAATCCAATTCATATAAATTTTGTTTTATGACATTTATTATAAAAATAGACATGTTTTCCCCTTACCTTCCCTGTACTTCTCATTTCCATCTAAATTTTTATCCTATTCCTGCTTTTTGAGCCTTTTCCTGGTGCAAATGCTGCTCTTTTGGTCATATCTGTTTAGTTATTCTAGGGAATCAGTGCTTCCTTAGTCATAATTGGTCACCTTACTTTATTAAAAAGTCTGTCTTGTGTATTTTGGAAGATTTTCTGGTGGCATAATGCATTTTGTTTTATGTTGCTAACTGAAAGATCAGTAGTTCACATCCACCAGCTGCTCAACAGGAGAAAAAATGGCAGTTTCTTCTCATAAAGAAAAAAAGTCTAAAGGAGTCTTGAAAGCCTAATGGAGTGTCACTATGATTGGAACCAGTTTGATGAAGTGGAGACTTTAGAATTTGGGTATTGAACCATATCTTCCAAACATATACATTCCAGTGGTATAAATTAAACATTATGCTTTCCTGTGGATTGTTTTCCAATTTTAATAATAGATATGTGTATGATTTTTATACATTAGAAAGTAAAGGCGAGCTCTGGTGGCCTAGTGGCAAGAAGCTGTGCTGCAACCCCAGAGGTCAGATGTTTGAATCCACTAGATGCTCTGTTGGAGAAGGAGGGACAATCTTCGTGTACCAGTCAGATCCTATTTGCCAGTACACACAAAAAATAAAACAATTAAAAAAAATATAGACATCAGATCCTTTTGCAGTTCATAAACATGATGAGTGGGCGTTCATACTTCTGTATGGTATGTGCCACTCTTTAAACCTTGTTATGACACAGGACACTACCCATCTGATGTGGGGGGGGGAAGGAAAGAAAATATAGACATCAAAAAATAATCAAATAACACCTCAAAGCACAATGTAGATCTGCACTGTCTAGTATGTATTGGTAACCACTAGTAGTGTGTGACTTTTGAGGACTTGGGATTTGAGCAGTCCAGATTGCATGGCTTGAATATTAAAGTCTAGGAGTCATTCAGATAGATCTGCATAGTGAGTGCACTTGTGCCCAGAGTTGTACTGCATTAGGTATTTCCAAGTTTACAGTATTACATATAGTTTAAGGGGCTTTCCCTTTGGACAAACTTCAGTTGCTAAAGGATTATGCAACAATGTTCTCTCCAGAAGTAGATTCATCCTAGCGAAAAACATGTTTCATAGACCCTTAGTTCATTACTTGTCTTCTGTGTAAATGTACACAAAATTAAAACCAAGCGGACCTAGCTCTGGTGGCTTAGTGGTAAGAAAGCTGTGCTGCAATCCTGAAAGTTACACAATTCGAGACCACCAGCTGCTCCATGAGAGAAGTATGGGCAATCTCCGCCAGTGCAGTTAACAGCCTGTGAAAACCTGCTGGAAGGTCAGCTATGGGTCTTTTCTGACTCACTGGATTTCCAAGTTTCTAAATATCTTTGTAAAGAGACAACCTCGTTTTTCACCCAGGAAGCAGCAGGTGCATTTGAGCCACCAGCCACCTTTGCTTTTAGCAGCCAAACATGTAATGCATTTTACCACCACAAAGACCTGCTTTCCTCTCACATGGACCAACTTCCACCGTCCTGTTGGTGTACTATGATTCTACTTTCTTTGAAGCAGAGAAGTCATCTCTATAATTTTTTATGAAATTAAGAAAGCCCTTAAAGATTCTTGAGGGTTTTATAGAAATAATTACCTTTTAAAAATTTTTGTACAATAGGATGTCTCCTTTCAGTGAAATAGTTTAGCCCATTGAATGCTTGACATCATTAAGTGTTTCTTTACTCAAGATCCTGGATTACAGGAGAAAAAGGCATTAATTCAGCAGCAGTGAGCACCAGACTGCTATAATTGAAGTAGTATATCTGAAAGCAGTGAATTTACTTTTTTATTCATCATGTATAGTTATGAAGTATTTAAAATATGCACATTTTGTTAGTTTACACTAACTGCCCTTTTTTTGCTATTGTTGATAATTGACTTGATTTCTGACTTTTGTGAGGAAACTCTTTACATAGGCATATGGGGAAAATGATGGCTGGGTTTTTGTTGGAGGTTTATCTGCACGTATGGCTGTTGTTAGGTGCCATCAAGTTGATAGTGACTCATAACAGCTTTTTGTGAACAGCAGATCTGAACCCTGTCCTATCCTGTGCCATCTTTATCATCTGTTTAATATATATGAACTTACTGGTACAGTCACTGTGCCAGTCCACCCTGTTGAAAGTCATCTCTTTTTTTTTTTTTTTTTTTAGTATTACCATTTACTGGTGACAAGCACTAACTTTTACTTACATTCCATGGGGAGAAAAAAAAATTTCCAGCGTAAACAAGAAATCAAAGCAGTACTTAACTTGCAAGACTCCCGTGCGTATCTGGCCCTGATGCAGCCCTTCCTGCACATCTGTGCACAATCAAAACAGCAAAGCAACAGTTTTCTACAGAAACACAGGTCATTCTTCTCAGCCCTCCATGGAGATGTAGTTAACAGTATAAAGCACTCAAGGAAAATCAACCTGCAGTTGTCTATGGACTACATGGGAGC